TATATATATATATATATATATATGAGAAATTATATATTCCGATGTTAGGTTTTTAGATTTCTGAAGCCAGAGTTGACCGGAAGGAATTAAGAATGGTGAGGTGGGCGAGTCAGGGATGAGAAATAAGACAAAAGCAGCATCTGGGACCAGGAGGTCTTGTATAAGCTGATATCTTATGCCAAACAAGTTTATTAAGAAGTACAGGGTCTTATATGCGGTTTGCAGGGGGGTGAACAGCCAGGGTCAGCACACAGCTAAGTCAGACGAGACGACGTCGACAAGGACAATGCAGGATATTGCAACCTTGGGACTGATAACCGCAGCCCAGGAGGAACAGTCGGGTCATCAAACCCTACAACCTCGAGTCCTCAGAGGCTCTGCCTCCAGCGTCAGACAAGCCTTGCCAAGTCTGCTGCTGGACAATGACACAGAGCTAGGGTTCCCTTTGTCCTTTCATTGGGGCTTCTAAGAAAGTTTTGGGTTGATCTGGCTCTGCACACAGGTTGGAGGATCACAGGCTGGGTGAGCGCCCTCTGGCAGTTTCCACATCATGTTGCTATCTCTTTCTGAAAGAACTTGGGGAAAGCTGCGAAAAGTTGCGAAAGGAATTGGACCAATGGAGAGGAGAGCCGCCAATGTCTCTCCACCAATCCCATCGTCGTCCCACAGCTAATAAACGCCCAAATGAATGCGGTGCCATTTGCAGGTTTAGCTGTTGATTCAGGGCTTCCAGAGGCTCCTTCCCTGCTGTCTGTCTGAGGAGCTGGAAGACAGTGTTGTTCTTCCTAGGGGAGGGCACTGGTTCTACGGCCATTGTCCCAGGTTGCCCTCATGCTGCAACTGGCCCTTCATTCTTGCCCACTCCTCTGACCCGAGGCTTTGGGGGTGTTGTACCATATATTTCTAGATTCATGTGAAAAATCCCCCAAATATCTTTCTTTGTGAAATAATTATTACCTATTAGCATGGGCAGCACACTGAAGTCAGGTGACCTTGCCCGAGTGCCTTTCTGTGTAACTTTTTTAGTTCTAGTCACTTGTGGACAGGCTGGCATAAGTGGTGTGTGCGTGTGTGTGTGTGTGTGTGTGTGTGTGTATACTATTTTAATCTTTTAGTAAATATTCTGCTCAAAGCATTATTTCTATCTTGGATCTAAGTTATAAAAGAAATTCATTTAGAATTAGAAAACTAGGAAGAAAGATGAATATAGACAAAAATGTGTGAAAAAGGAAATGGCAAGACCCAGAGTTTACAAATGTATTAAGATTATAATTTGCAACTTGTGCCTCTGAAATCAAAGCTTTCTCGGTTATTTTTAACAACAGGTCCTTCTGGCTCCAACACCATGGTTTTTCCAAGAAAGACAATTTCAAATAGTTTTAAAATGGGTCTTTGTTTAAATATAAGTTTACCCTCAAACTGTGGTTCTTATTCTTTTTTTCCTTCCTAGCTTTTCAAGACAGAGATTCTCTGTGTAGTCCTGGCTGTCTTAGAACTAGTTCTGCCAACCAGGCTAGCCTCAAACTCAGAGATCCATCTGACTCCATCTCCCAAGTGCTAGGATTAAAGGGGTGCTACCTACACCTGACTCTAATTCTTTTTTTTTTTTAATTGTATTGAGCTAAGCATGGTGGCACAGGCTTTTAATCCCAGCACTTGGGAGGCAGAAGCAGGTGGATCTCTCTGAGTCTGGGGCCAGCCTGGTCTACATAATGAGTTCTATGACAGCCAGAGCTACATAGTGAGACCCTGTCTCAAAAACTTTTTTTAGCCGGGCGGTGGTGGCGCACGCCTTTAATCCCAGCACTCGGGAGGCAGAGGCAGGCAGATCTCTGTGAGTTCGAGGCCAGCCTGGTCTACAAGAGCTAGTTCCAGGACAGGAACCAAAAGCTACGGAGAAACCCTGTCTCGAAAAATCAAAAAAAAAACTTTTTTAAAAAGATTTATTTATTATGCATACAACATTCTGTCCCATGTATGCCCGCACACCAGAAGAGAGTGCCAGATCTCATTACAGGTGGTTGTGAGCCACCATGTGGTTGTTGGGAATTGAACTCAGGACCTCTGGGAGAGCAGCCAGTGCTCTTAACCTCTGAGCCATCTCTCCAGCCCCTCAAAAACATTTTTATACAATATGTTTTGATCTTGTTTCTTCCCTTTCTCAATTCTTCCCAGCTTTTCCAGCCTCCCTACCCACCCAACTTTATTTTCTTTCTTTGAAACAAAGCAAAACAATACCACAAAAACAAAAATCAAAACAAATAGGCAAAAGACCAATAAGACAAGAAATGTCCCAGCAATGCATAAGAAAACAAAATGTCCACAAAAATAAGATTTTTTCTTTTATTTTCTTTTAAAGATTTATTTATTTATTGTGTACACAGTGTTCAGCCTCCTCGTATGCCTGCAGGCCAGAAGAGGGAACCAGATCTCATTACAGATGTTTGTGAGCCACCATGTGGTTTCTGGGAATTGAACTCAGGACCTCTGGAAGAACAGCCAGTGCTCTTAACTTCTGAGCCATCTCTCCAGTCCAAAAATAAGTTCTGTGTTGGTCAGTTACTCCTGGGCCTAGGGCCTGTCCTGAGGTGTGGTTAATATACTCAGTAAGACTCCATTGGAGACAACCGATTTCTCTTCTGCCAGAGGGTTGTAGATAGCTTCTTGTTTAGGGATGGAAGCCCGTGTCTAACCCCTCCTCGGCAATGGGACCTTGCCAGGCTTGAACCCGTGCATGCTGCCGTGATCTCTGTGAGTTCACACGTGCACCAATCCTGTTGTGTCTGGAAGACACTGTTTCCTCAGCGTCACCAGTCATCTCTGGCTCTTAGAATCTCCCTGCCTCCTCCTCAGCATAGATTCCTGAGTGCTGAGGGGAGGGATGTGCTGAAAACATACCACTTAGGACTGAGTGCTCCCAAGTCTCTTTCTCTGCGCATTGCTGAATTGTGGGTCTCTGTGTTTATTGCCATCCACTGTAAGAAGCCATTTCTCTGATGAGGGCTAAACAAGGCCTTTAGCAGAACAAGAGTAGTAGGTTTTCCCCTAGGCCCATTGCTATGGTTAAAGCAAAATACTGCAGGTCTAGTGTGGCTGCAGCCAGCAGAGGGTCCCTAGACCACACCATAGTTCCCCAAAGTGGCAGCAGGCAGTGGGCAGCGGCTCCTAAGAGCAGCCAGTCCCAGGCAGGGACAGCACAGTTCCCACGAGGGGCATTAAGCCCCAGGCAGGGAGCCATGTGGTGGGTGAGAGATCTCGACAGGGCAGCCAATCCCACGAGGAGAGACAGACAGCATGCCGCAAGACCATGCCACAGGTCTCCACAGGTGGCTGGTCCCAGGGAGGGAACCACTCAGTGGACAAAAAACAGAGACATGGATAGGTGCACCATGCAGAGTGAGGTTGAATACTTATTTAGTGGGTTATGGAGGGGAAAGGGGAGAAGGGAGAAGAGCAGAAAGAAAGGCAGAGAGAGAGAGAGGGAGAAACAGAAGGGAAAGGGAATAAGTGGAGAGGGAGATGGAAAAGAAAGGACTCAGGCAGACAGGAGAGGGAGTGGGCGTGGCTTGTCTCTTAAAGGGACAGGACAGACCATTACACCCATGACCTGTGTAGTCTCAGGCTCTTGGCCACTTCAGCAGCGTCAGTTGTGGTTCTAGCTCATGGAGTGGGCCTTAAATTCAATTTTAAAAAAAGTCGGGGTTAGAAAAATGGCTCAGTGATTAAGAGCACTGGTTGTTCTTTCAGAGGACCTGGGTTCAATTTCCAGCTTACAACTGTCTGTAACTCCAGTTCTAGGGGATCTGGCACCCTCACAGACATACACACAGGCAAAACACCAATGCACATAAAAATAAATAAATCTTTAAAAACCGTTATTGTCACTATGATAAGGATTGTGCCACTGCTGCCCAGTGTATCCTGCAGGCAGGTCGCTGCTGTAGGTCACAGAGTTCATTGGCTTCTCTTCCCTGGAAGTGCACAGCATAGCTCCCAGTACCATAAATGCCAGCTGATCCTAATTCTTTTATTTGGAAAGAAAATATTATTTCTGATAGCATAAAATGCAAAGTTTTAAAGTTTTTGTTTTGTTTTTCAATACAGAAAAGAATTTGAAGTGCTAAGTAGAAAACTGATAGAGGTGATTAAGTGTGTAACACTAACTCTAGTCAGCTATGGCACTGTTTATAGTTCTCTGAAGGAAAACCTTTAAAAAAAAAAAAAAGATAGGCTCTCACTGTGTAGACCAGGTTGGCTGGAACTTGATATGTAGACCAGGCTGGCCTTGAATTCACAGAGATCCGCCTGTCCCCCCCACCCCCGTGTTGGGGTTAAAAGGGTGTCCCACCACTGCACAGCTCTAATTTTGTTTTGAAATTCAAATTTACCCTGATCCCTAGCTACCTTATTAACTTTGTCACGCACGGTTGCATTTGAGGGAGTTATGTGCTGGCAGGCCCCATTTGCCCAAAGCTCAGGAAAAACATGCCTGGCTACACCCACCTAGCCATAAATTGGTCTTATCTGCTGATATAAATAGAGTTTCGATCAATGACTAAGAAGTGATATTTACCAATACTTGTAAATTCAGGTCTTATCTTGATTTCCAGCATTGCCAGAAATGCTGTACAGCTCAGCTCTGACTGTGGGGGAAGACACTGTAACTTTGTTGCCAGGCCATGTCACCAGCCATTACCCACCGTATGGATTCTAGGAACTGAACTCAGGTCATCAGGCCTACATGGCAGGCTCTCTTGCTGTGAGATTTTCTTATGTATTTAATTTTATTTCTAACTATGTGTATGTCTGTGGAGAGGGTGTTTTTGACATCAGACATGGGTGGGGCGATGGAACTCAGGTCCTCTGCAAGGTCAGCATGTACTCTCAGCATCTCTCCGCCCCTCGTGTGTGCTGTGCTCTGCATTCTAGAGGACTTAAATATGAAAGGATCATGCACATCAAAGATGTATTTTTTTTGATTTAATAAAGTTTTATTTTTCCAAAAGTACAGCTGATTGAACCTGTTCATGCATCTTTACCAGCAGCTGGGGCATCTCCACCCTTTGTGTTTCTGGTGTAAATTACTTGGGCTCTGTGCTTTGAAACCAGCTTGATAAGCCCTTTACTAAGGAGCTTCTGAAGGGCTGCCCTGGCCAAGGAACCGCGAATCTTCAGTCTCTCAGAGACCATGGCTGGAGTAATAAGTTTATAGTTGGGCACTTCCTTACAGAGCTTGTCGTATGTAGCCTTGTCAAACAGGACTAGATTGTTGAGCTTGTCCCACTTCTTCTTTTTGGCCTTGCCACTGGACTTATTTACTGGGTCTTTGTCTTTTTTGGCCGACTTTCCAGCATCTTTCTTCTTCTTGTCATCCTTGGGCGGCGTGATGAAGTTCGTAGAGTGCCGACCACCACTGTAGCCTCCCTAAGATGTCCCAAAGATGTATTTTGCAAACATAAAATTTGAGTCACAGTTATATAGAAATGTTGAATTTTGAACAAATTTTAGAGTTTTGCATTATTTTTAGTTATCACAACTTTTTAAAAATACGGCACCACTGGCCATAAGTGTATTCTACTTTTAAAAAAAGATTTATTTATTATGTAAACAGTGTTTTGCCTGCATGTATACCCGCAGGCCAGAAGAGGGCACTAGATCTCATTATAGATGGTTGTGAACCACCATGTGGTTGCTGGGAATTTAGCTCAGAACCTTTGGAAGAGCAGTCAGTACTCCTAACCTCTGAGCAATTTCTCCAGCCCAGTGTATTCCACTTTTACCTGATGTAGAAAGCTATGTCACTCATGTCCTATTTAACTAGAACTATAATGCACTCACTTAAAAGATTTCAAAGGGGGCTGGAGAGATGGCTCATTGCTAAGAGATTGGCTGCTATGGCAGAGACTAAGGTTTGATCCCCAGCACCCACTTGGCTGCTATGGCAGAGGTTAAGGTTTGATTCCAGCACCCACTTGGCTCCTATGACAGAGACTAAGGTTTGGTCCCCAGCACTCACTTGGCTGTTATGACAGAGACTAAGGTTTGGTCCCCAGCACCCACTTGGCTGCTATGACAGAGACTAAGGTCTGATCCCCAGCACCCAGTATGTGACTCACAACTCCAGATCTGTAACTCCACATCCAGGGGATCTGATGCCCTCATCTGGCCTTCATGGTCACTAAGCATACACGTGCTACACAGATATGTATGCAGACAAAACACCATATATGTAAAATGAAGCAATAAAAATTATCTTTCAGGGATTGGGGATGTAGTCCAGTTTGTGGGAGGCCTGCCCAGCATGCACAAAGTCCACCCCTTCCATCCCTGATGGTGTAGGAACTGGCATAGTGGATGCACCCGCAATCCCAGCACTCAGGAGATGGAGGCGGTAGAGCCATCCTCAGCTACACACTGGAGTCCAGCCTGTGCTACATGAAACAAACAAAAACAAAAAACACGATACACTGAAATTAAAAAAAAAAGTAAGCCAGGAGTGGTTGTACATGCCCTTAATTCCAGAACTTGAGAGGCAGAGGAAGGTGGCTTGCCTTGAGTTCAAGGCTGGCCTGGCCTACCCAGAACAACCAGAGCTATGTAGAGAGACTCTATCTCAAAACAAATAAACAAACAAGATAAAATGAGAAAAAGTATCCAATGATCCTTGATTCTGTTACAAAGCTTGAAAGGGCTAGTGAGATGGCAGAGCAGTAAGAATGCTTACCACCAAGCCAATGACCTCAATTCTATCCCCAGGAGACACTGATGGGAGGAGAGAACTGACTCCTGCAAGTTGTCCTCCACCTCCACACATCTATCACAGCACGTGCACCCCACCCCATTAAATAAATAAAAATGTAGTAAAATTGTTTTGTAAATTATAGATAAGGGGCTAGAGAGATGGCTTAGAGGTTAAGAGCACTGGCTGTTCTTCCAGAGACCTGGACTTCCAGCATCTAAATGGTGGCTCAACAAATGTCTATAGCTCCAGTTCCAGGGAATCCAATGTCCTCTTTGGTCACTGCACATACATACACGAGAACAAAATATTCCATATAAACAAAAGACTTTTCAGCCAGGTGATGGTAGTACATGCCTTAAGTCCCACCACTCGGGAGGCAGAGACAGGCAGATCTCTGAGTTCGAGGCCAGCCTGATTTACAGGGTAAATTTTATGATAGCTGGAGCTACACAGAGAAACACTGTCACAAAAAATAAAAGCAAGCAAATAAACAAAACACACAAGAATTGCTGGGTGTGGTGGCTCACGTCTTTAATCCCAACACTCAGGAGGTAGAATCAGGCAGATCTTTGTGAATACAAGACCAGCCTGGTCTATAAAGCAAGTTCCAAGACAGTCAGAACTGTCACAAAGAGAAATCTACCACAATAGAACCTTCTTTTTTTTTTAAGTTATAAACAGATTGGCCCATTAGCTCAGGCTTCTTATTAACTCTTATAACTTATATTAGCCCATTATTCTTGTCTATGCTAGCCATGTGGCTCAGTACCTTATTCAGCAAGGCAGTCATATCTTCTGTGACTAGTCATGACTGCCAACCAAGTTTCCAAAACTTCTTAAAATATATATATATATATATATATGTATATATATATATATGACAGAAATCTAAATAGAATTTCCAAATAATGGGGGAGAGGAAAACCTCAACTAGGCATCTCTCACCACCAAACAAAATCTCCACTGCCAGGGATGGGTCACATCTGATAGAATTGTTGGCTAAAGGGACCCAATAGAAACTCCTAAACAACTTAGGCTATTACCAAGGCTGTTGGTTGCTCTCCACAAATTGTTGTATTGCTAAAGGCAACATCTACATAAATCACTGAACATGCCTACCCTAGTTCATGGTACTGGAAGGTAATGAGTATTACCCAAGGAGAAAGGTAAACACCAACCCAGCTACACACCCTTTGATTTATAATTGTGATCTGCCTGCATAATACACTGTGCAGTAGTGGCACAAACATTATGGGAGTAACCAACCAAATCTGCTTTAAGGACCACTCAATGAGATGAAACCTTTGCCTGACACTGCTCGGGTGGCCAAGAACCTGAGACTAGGCTGTGGACCTAGGGGGAACCAAATAATACTGTTATACTAAGGTAACATAGCTATAAAATAACTCCTAATGATATTCTGCTATACTCATGGATCAATGTCTTGCTCAGCCATCATCAGAGATGCTTCCTCCTGCAGCTGATGGGGAAAAAAAATACAGAGACCCACAATAGGACTGTGTGCAGAGAATGAGAGACCTTGGAACACTCAGCCTTAAATGGGATGTCTGCATCAAATCTCTCCCCCAGGATTTATGGAACTCTGCAGAAAGATTATAAGAGTCAGTGAAGATGGAAGACACCAAGGAAGCAAAGCCTTCTAGACACAACAGGACTGATGTACATATAAACTCACAAAAACTGAGGCAGCACGCATAGGGCCTGCACAGGTCTAAGCCAATTGAGGTCCCAGCACTGAGATGGAAATGGACTCAAGCCCCCATCTGTAATAATCTGTTCTGTCTCTTTAAGAGACAAGCCATGCCTGCTGAGGCAGGCAGATCTTCCTTCCTGCTTGCAGCCTGAGTCTCTTTCTTTTCCATCTCCCTCTCAAAGAGGTAGCTTGTCTCTCCCTTTTCTCTCTTTCTCTCTCTCCCCCTTTCTCTCTCTCTTCTTCTCCTTCTCCCCTTCCATTCCATACTTTCATAACCCACTAAATAAATATCCAACCTCACTCTGCATGTGTGCCTATCCATGTCTCTGTCTCTTGCCTACCACCGCATGTCTCTCTGCCCAGGACCAACTGCCTTTAGAGACCTGCAGCATGTTCTCATGCCTGCTGCAGCCACTGGGGAACCTGCAGCAATTTTTAATTAATCCATCACACCATTCACAACTCAGAATTGACAACCACTTACAAAGGAAGATGAGTTTTCTCTAACAGAGTCTCACAGGGTATACAAACTGCACTTTAGGGCAGACCCCATGACCAGTGGTAGGCGATAAGCATGAAGCAAACTCAAATGATGTTTTCTAAGTATTTTAATCTCATAACACTTTGGCTATCTTTTATTTTACAAGTCTTTTGCTTATGTTTTGTGATTCTTTATAGGGTCTATGTGACATGTGTGTGTTTGTGTCTCTACAGTTTATTTTCTTTGGATTTTATTTATTGTTCTTTTTGAGACAAGGTTTCTCTGTGTAACTGACCAGTTTGAGGCTGGTCTCAAACTCACAGAGATCCACCTGCCTCTGCCTCTCAAGAGTTGGGATTAAAGGTGAGTGCCACTACACCTGACTTTTTTTGTCCTATTCTGTTTTTGTTTTATTATTTTTTATTCCTGTTTATTTTCTCATGCTAGAGAAAAACAAGCATGGATTTGGGGATATGGGGAGGATCTGAGAGGAATTTGGGGAGGGAAAACCATGATCAAAATATAATACATAGAAATACTTATTTTCAATTAAAAAAGGAAACTATAAGAGAAAAAAGTTATATCTTTAAAATACATACATATGTATGTTCCCTCATGCACACATACATACACACTCAAACACACAAACACATTTTAAATTTGGCATGTCAAGAATAGCAAGTTGAGTAAAATATATATTGTAATCCCCTCTAACCACACTTGTAGCCAGGCCCCCAGAACCTCTAACTGCCAGGTTCCACCCATATCATGCTCTAACTGTCCTAACTGCCGAGTCCTGACCCCATCCTACAGAGTAAGACATCTAATATATAAACATGATATCTCATCAATCTCCACCTAATTACGTTTCTCTGCTGACACAGACAGATCAAACCAAATTGATAAAGTATAACCACAGGTTTATTTGAGCAAAGCACCTCCTGGGTGAGTCTTCCAGGCCCAGAGACCGAGACAGGAGAAGTCACAAAAAACAGGGAGCTTATATAGGTTGTAGGTGAGGGGTGATGACGGCTCACCATAAGCTGGGTTTGTGTTCAAGTATGGTCAAACTCTGGAATGCTTAGGCAGGGACTTGGACTGCTGGCAACTTCTGTGGAGGAGCTACCATAGCCACCAAGATTTCAGAACTGGGCTTTTTGGTGCCCTCCCTTTGTGCAGAGATTCTCTAGGTTGGTGGGGTTTGGAGAGAGAGGAATGGGGCTTTCTGGATCAAGTAGGATTGAGCTGGAGGTCCCAGCCAAACACCACCTCCTTCCCACTGTTGAGTGTGGTGAAGACACACTGAATGGTTTGGTCCTTATTTGGTCCTCCCTGAGTCATTTGTAATGGAGGAAGGTAATTGGCTAATAAAGAAATTGCCTTGGCCCATTTGATAGGCCAGCCTTTAGGTGGGTGGAGTAAACAGAACAGAATTCTGGGAGGAAGAGGAAGTGAGCTCAAACTCGATAGCTCTCCCCTCTGGGGCA